TTTCAAAAGTAGAATAGAATGTTGTAACTTTTAAACTAAAAATGTCATTCGTTGCACTATGCGTGACTATTTATATATGGACGATAGTATTTGATGCTTATTGTCTATAAGGTAAAAAAAAGTCCACAATGTAGTTTTTTGTATTTGTACCAAATGACCCAGCACATTGTCCCGGAATTTGACCTCCAGCGTATCACAATTTGCATTTAAATCTGTTACCTTCTTTTGTTAACGATTTTTCTATTTGTCAGGATTGCTTTTGAACGATAATACATTATCTTTTTGTGTGTTTCTTTTTTGGTAATGATATATTTTTAATGCAGAGAATTTGCCTCAATTGTTATCACTCGAGTCACATCATAATGTACAAGATTTATTTATCTGTTGCAATTGCGAAGCCTAAATATATTCACAACCAGAAAACCATCGTCACATTGAAGTACAGGTAAATGTGCGAATACACATAAACTGACATCATTAAATATATCTACAACAGTACTGAATAATATTAAAGGGCTTTAGTAATTGGTAAACATCATAAAATATGAAATGACAACACTGTGCATTATGGCTGCTTTTGTAAATAATCAAATAATGGAGTTGTATTTACGTATAAAATAAAACAAATAAATTAAATCAACTGCACGCCCACATGACCTTGGGGATCATGTGAATCATTGTTCGTCATAAGTAGTAAACACGACATACTTCGAGAATCTAATATTGAAATCATTATAATAACATGTGTCACTTACTTGAGACCCGATGTGTTGTTGCACGGTGTTGATGTTAGTGAAACTGACTGCTTGGATCCACAAATCTGAATGACCCTCAGAAATGTCCCGATATTTAAATTAATCCTACACACGTATTACCATGTTACTATAAATAATACTGGAAATGTAAAAACCGTAGAAGTGTTCCTAGTAGGTTTAGATTGACTGTTACACATCACAACAGTTGAAAAATTAAAGCGCGGTGTTCGAATTTCGTGTAAATAAACAATGTATTTTACACGCGTTGTATACGTCGCTATGAGTCCCATATCGAACAGGACTCGGCACGACTGCCGCTTTTAACATATGGTAAAATTGCATGATAATAATAACTACCGTGCTACCGTGTATCCTGTTTGTTTGAGATACCCCGATCACTAGTGCATTATCTGACTGTGTTTTTTTTAGCTCAACGGAATAATACTCTGACATCCATCGTGCCATGACTGCAAAGAAACAACAACACGACACCAAAATCGTTTTCAGCCATGTTATTTTTATATGTAATTGATTACACTGTTACGTTTGGTTCTGAACGAACTGGATTGAACTCGGGCGTATCTCGGCTCTCGGTCAGCCCCATACGGGTGATCGCGTTGGAGATAATCTTCTGTTAATCCCTTATCGGTGGGAGAAGCAGTAGTTCGGCTCCGATAGAATGCTGTCGTGTAAACCATGGAACTACGAGCCCCGAGTTTGTTGTTCTATGTTTAAACGTAGCAATAGACCGGAAGGGCCGACAAATCTGTATATCGACCGAGGTTGGGTCAATATTTGTAATACTATCCCGAATAAAACAAACATTGCACACTATAATCTCTCCTGCCCAAGTTTCCAATAACAACACCGAGAATTCACAAGTAGCTGTTTGATTACAATTCCAATGGGTCGTAAGAATATATATTCCATAATACATTCCAAAATTACTGTAACATTTAGTATTTGTCTAGGTACCAACTAGCACTGGACGATGTCCGCCACATGACGCGCGCACACAAACAAACAAACAAACAAACAGCTCACGTCCCTGGGACCACTCCCATCTGATTAAAATCCGATGTAGGTATGAGGTTCCAATTTTTTCTTGCCGTTAAGCAACCAAAAAATCGACATATTCAAACTAAAATACAAATAAATATTATATAAAGGGTCATACAAAAAAATTGGAGCCTCATACCTACATCGGATTTTAATCAGATTGGGACCACTCGGACCTAACCAGAACGCAATATAACACATTTCCGTGTCATACGATGGCCATTCGTTTATTCTATTGTATAACGCATTAACAAATGTAAGATTATGTCATAGTGTCCATTGAAAACGGTAAACGATTTCCTAAAACACCAATATGTTGTTGTTTCATTCATAACAACAAAACAAACATTTGGACTTTAAATTAATTGAAATCAACGCCCCCCCCCCCCCGAGGTGCATCTGGAGGCCAATTTTATTTCTACCACAACAACATACAACATGTATTTGGTTTGTGTTTTCATTGATCAGATGTGAAGTAAAGAGGTCAAACGGGGAAAATAATACTAGTACAATAACAACAAAATATTAGAGTGCTCAGTCTACTAGGAAAATATGCTAGACATATAATAATATAAGTGTTGTCGATGATCATGGTTATACACATCGATGTGTTAGATATTTAGTTGTACCACAAACAATATGACCCATAACATTTATATCCACTGTGTCTCCTCAATACTAGTATGCTGTGTGACTACACTGAAATAATTGTGATCAAAAGTGTTATACATTAATGCATTATAATTAATTAAGCGATTGGGCCTAAGTAAAAGAAATTAAATCACTTGACCGATATTTGATCCTTTATCACTTAAAAAAATCACTTATTAATGTCAATTTATGGTTGTCAAATAGCACGCTTCTGTCGGGGCTTCTGTGAAGTAAGAAAGAGATATATCGTTAGACGCCAAGCCTAAAAAAGGAATCGATGATATTGCCATTATATTATTCTGGATACAAGTCAGCATACTTTTTTGTAATTGATTGATTTAGAGGAACTGTATTGCCGTATTTATAACTGTATTTATAAATGAAATTTCATGAATACGATATTGATCGTGTGTTCATGTGAGAAGGTTGACTCCTCATAAAAGGACCAACGCAAAGGATTGGATCACTGTTTTAAGAATATGTCTGCGTTATAAACCATTGTGCACAAACAGCGGTAACTGTCTTCGCTATATTCAAATTGCAACCCCACGGTTGCTGTGCCTTCATGTAAAAGGGACAGTCGTGAAGACAACTGATCGGCGAACTAGTTCCAAGTCATGCATCGACATTGTCGCCGTCTCAGTTGCCGGAACCCGTTTAAAACCACACGGTTCCGCAAGGTGAAGTTGTATTTATTCGCTGCGTCAATATGCCTTTGCTTTCTTGTTACATTGCTTCAATTGTTGAGTTGGTATTCCTCATTGAAGATGGCTGATCATGAACTGATGACAATGTGGACGACAAAATCGGACAGAGAAAGCAGGTGAGCACAATCAAGTCGTTCGGGTTATGTCCGTTGATTATCGCATTAGGTCACGAGTATCGTAAGTGCTTTCAGACTCCTGCCGCTTTCGAATGCGACCAAATGCAAAAATAGATATATCTTTCACAAAATATTGCGACAAATATTGTATGGCACAAGCCGCTTCTCTTGTCGAAATCGCGATTATTGTTAAATTTGAATGTTAAGATATGTTGTTGATTTCACCATCAGAAATAGCGATTTGCTTATGACTCAACTTAGAACGTTTTTTTTTTATTTGCGTCAAATTAATTCTAAACCGATCGTTCATGGTCCCGCAGATCAAACGTATGTGCTAAATCGCCAAGCTTTCGAATGTGGTGAACGTACAGTATATAGCTCGCGGGGTTCGGTAAGACGGAGTTGGGGTCACGTGATGAGGGGTATTGTATTTGGTTGGGTGTGGCGGGGTGTGGCAGGGCATTGTTAAGTTGTCGAATATTATTTTTGTTCACAGAAGTATTGAAACAGATCGACAATTGGTGTTATCACGATTGCAAGAGTTGACTGAAAAGTTATTGTTACCATGGAGACGAAATATAACTAACATCAACCGAACGAGGTAAGAAGCCTGAGTGATATATGATGAACTTTTTTCTATGTCCCAGGCGTGGAATGATAAATAAGCTGAGAATGCGTAGATACTATTTCCCTCATTACATACGTTGTTATGACTACTAGAGATAAAATATGTCAGTTACAAATATCATCAGATTAGCCTTTACTAGAAATTCTGTCTCCAATTTTTCTCTGGAAAAATTTGGCCATTAAACCATATTACCTTAAATTCCAAAACTTTTGAGGGTCGCGGGGATTGTAGCCTGTTGTTGAGGAGTCATAGAAAATATATGTTTAATAAGTAAATCTGTCAGGGGAATAGGCTTCATTTTTGTTTCGTTTTGTTTTGTTCTGTTTGTCGCAGATGTCTGGCTAGTGGAACACCCATTTTTATGACGTCAGTGCAGGAATGTATTATGAGATGTAAGTGTTAGTGTTTTAGTAGGATGAACTTCTTCATCCAACCATGTTTATAAATACAAATAAATTCAAACGTCGAAATGGTACACTTACTTAATTGTGTGTATTTTTCATACAGGCGTGCGCTCAGTGTTCTGAGAACGAAGACAGAATTCGTTCTAACAAAAGAAAATGCGGACATTGGAAGTCAAGTCAACCTGACCTTGCGAAAGATGGAGAAGCTCAAGATGAACAGGAACATGTACAAGCATTTGCCGAAGGTAAAGTAAAGAGGAAGATAATGCAAATAGTCCCAGGACACGTTTACTTCTAGCACAAGAATACGTATTACGCAGGATTACGTATTCAGTGGTAGTCCGGACTTATGGATTGACCTTTGTGCGTATGTCCGTATCCACCCGTGTATCACATATACCTGTGCCGACCAAGTTCAAACTAAACACGTCGGGCACTGTATCAGAAATATGTGCGTCTATTTTCTATTTTGTTGGATAGTGTTTTATGGAAACTGTGGTGCAAGTTGTTTGATGTGTACATCTTTTTTAACTTCTATGGATTATTCTTTTTTTTAATACGAAGTAAACCTTGTAAAATTGTTTGTTTACGTGAAATTCGAACACGCGCCGCGCGACGACCGCCGTCTTTTAAACAGAAGGGGACTCTTATGCACCTCGTTTTATTTTTCGGATCGAGTTCAAAGTGGCCGACTGGTGGCCTTTTTCCCTAAAAATTGCACTTTGTGATCCATATTTCTGACATGCCTGGGCGGAACAAGTTAGAACTTCACATAAATCAGACGTCGTGGCATGCTTCAAGTTCAAAATGGCGGCCATTTTTGAATAACGAATGCAGTTCCGGATTCTGTATTTCTGACTTGCAACACTCTGACTTAATGACACTCAATCACAAATGAAATCTGCCGACTTTTTTTAAAGTTTACAGGTGCTTGTGCTCGACCGGGCCGGATTGGCGCCAGGATAGCGCATTGAATTGCCATTTGATAGGGGGATGGCCGCATAGACCTGTCATGATGTAGTTCCAAACATGAATATGGCTTCTGCGGTAAAAATGCACTATGTGTCAACACTATCACTTGAAATTTGCACATGAAAAAAAATATTTGTTTGGCATTGAATGTTATTCAAAAAAAATGTTTTAGAAACTTGTAGATGACCATTGAACTAATACTCGTTTCTAGTATTGTAACGTGAAACTAATTACACTGGCTCGTTCAATTTAATTTAAAGTAGTACCAAGGTCAACATAATCTTGAATCAACAAATATTTCACGAATTTCGATCAGCTGCTCTAGACACTCGACAGCCAACACCGTCGTACCACGTTGTATTCGATATGGTACCCATAGCAAAGTACACAACGCTTGTAAAATACATTGTAAACAGTCTTATGATTATTGATTTCAACTTGTGTCATACCCTTTTTTTTAGTACTAAATATTTGTTTGAAGAACAACTGCCTAAAATTTATTTTTGAAATAATTTTCATAGGAAATCATGTTAAAGCATTATTTCATAAAATGTGAATAGTAAATCAAAATGTTAAAATAATACTTGAAATCAATGTGTGTGTGTG